TTCTGATCCAGCTCTCTACTGTAGCCTGGGAAAGCAGTGTAAGATGGCCCAAGTTCTTGAGGCCCTGCACCCACATGAGAAACCTGGAAGAAGCTGCTGGCTCCTGGCTTCGGATCAGTGCAGCTCTGGTCAGTTGGGGCCAGTTGGGGAGTGAACCATCGGATGGAGGACCTCTCTCTCTCTCTCTCTCTCTCTGCCTCTCTTTTCTCTGTGTAACTCTGATTTTCTAATAAATGACTTTCTAATAAATAAATAAATAAATCTTTTAAAAAAAGTGTTTTAGTAAGCTTCATGGTAACCACAAAGAAAACAAATCTATAATACCTTTACCAAAAATAATAAGCCAAGAATTAAAAGTATACTACTATGGAAAATCATTTTATCACAAATAAAGATTGTAAGCAGGGAGAAAGAATAAAACAACAATAATAAAACTAGAAAATGAGTATCAAAATGGCAGTAGTAAGACTTTAATCTATGACCAATTAGCTGAAATGTGAATGGATTAAATTTTCCAATTGACTGATTAAATTTAAAAAAAATAGGACTCAACCATAAGGTGCTTAGAAGAAACTCAACTTCGCCTCTAAGGACACACATAGACTGTAAGTGAAGGAATGGAAGAAGATATTCCATGTAAATGAAATACAAAAGAAAGTAGGAGTAAAAATATTTCTCTCAGAAAATAAATCTTAAATCAAAAGTGGTTAAAGAGGCAAGAAAAGTCATATAATGATAAAGAATTCATCCTAGCAAGAGGAAATAACAATTGTAAATATATATGCACCTAATATCAGAGTACACCCAAATACACAAAGCCAATATTAATAGACCCACATGAAAGACAGATTTCTTTTTTAAAAAAAGATTTATTTATTTATTTGAAAGGCAGAGTTAGAGGGGCAGAGGCAGAGAGGGAGAGAGAGAAAGAGAGGGAGAGAAGGAAAAAGGGAGAGAGAGAGAAAGTCTTCCATCCATTGGTTCACTCCCCCAAATGGCTGCAATGTTCAAGGCTGGGCAAGACCGAAGCCAGGAGCCAGGATCTTCTTCTGGATCTCCCATGTGGGTGAAGGGGCCTGAGAACTTGGGCCATCTTTTGCTGCTTTCCCAGGTGCATTAGCAGAAAGCTGGATCAGAAGTGGAACAGCCAGGAATTGAACTGGTGTCCATATGGGATGAGGTGCTGCAGGAGGTGACTTTTACCTGCTATGCCACAGCACCAGCCCCAAAAGATAAAATTTAAATATAATAGTAGTAGTGGAGTTCAACACCTCAGTTTCAGAAGTGAGAAGATCATCCAGACAGAAAATCAACACTGAACAGCAGAGGTAAATTATACTCTAGATGATGTGGACCTAACAGACATCTATAGAACATTCCACCTAACAGCTGCAGAATACACATTCTTAATAGCACATGGAACACCCTTAGGATTCATGGTAGCTCACAAAATAAGTCTCAATGATTTTAAATAAATTATATATATTCAATAAAATCCCTATAACAATTTCATGACTTTTTTTTTAAATAGAACTAGAAAAAAATTACTAATATTTGTAATGGAATGACAAAAGACCCTAAACAACAAAAGTAATGTTGAGAAAAAGAATAAAGCAGGATACACTATCTAAATTTTAAATATATTACAAAGCTACAGAAATTAAAACAGCTTAGTATTGGTATAAAAACAAATCCATGGAACAATGGAACAAAATAAAGACCCTAGAAATAAACCCATAAATCTACAATAAGCTGATCTTTTTCAGAAGTGCTAAGAAAGTGCACTAGAAAAAGTATTGTCTTTTCACTAGATGGTACTGAGAAAATGAGACACCCACAAACAGAAGAATGAAACTAGATCCTTGTCTCTCACTGTATACAAAAATCAACTCAAAATGGATTAAAGAATTAATGTGAGACTTGAAACTTTGAAGTTCCTAGAATCAAAAATAGGGGAAACACTTCAATGATTTAGAACAGGCAAGGGTTTTTCAATCAGTCCCCCAAAGCACAAGAAACAAAGGAAAAATTGACAAATCAGATTTTATTCAATTAAAGAGCTTCTGCAAGGAAACTATCAACAGAGTGGAGACACAACCAACCAAATGTGAGAAAATATCTTTCTAAGCTCTACATCTGACAAGTCATTAATATCCAGAATACACAAAGAATAAAACAGCTCAATAATGAAATAAGCAATCTAATTTAAGAATAGGCAATAGGACTAAATAGACATTTCTCAAAGGAAGACCTGCAAATGGCCATCAGGTACATGAAAAAACAATCCTCAATGTGATTAATAATCAGAGAAAACAAATCAAAACTGTAATGAGATACCATCTCACTCCAATTACATTGATTATTATCAAAAAGACAAAGATAACAAATATACATGAGGATGTGGAGAAAAATGAACTATTGCCCACTACTGGTAAGAAAGTAAATCAGTACAGTCATTGTGGAAAATACTACAGAAGTTCCTCAAACAACTAAAAATAGAACTAGCATATGATCCAGAAACCCCACTACTGGGTAATGCATAAATCCCAGGGAAATGAAATCAGTCTGTCAAAGTGATATGTGTACTCCCATGTTTACTGCAGCACTATTCACAACAGCTAAGAAATGGAAGCAACCTAAGTGGCTATCCACTCATGAATGGATAAAGGAAATGAGGTACACATTGGAATATTACTTGGCCATAAAAATGAAGCCTTGTCATTCATAACATGGATGTTAAAAGTATAATGGTGATTTCCTGAGGCTGCAGATGGAAGGATTTGGAAAAGTTGATTGATAGGTATCAGGTCACAGCTAGATAGGAACAGGAAGTTCTGGAGTTCTGTTCCACAGTAGTTGACTATACACAACCTTAATGCACTTTACATTTCTCTAGATAAAAGAAAAAAAATTGGAAGATATGATTCAAGATATTTTCATCATAAAGAAATGATAAATGAGGAGATAGATTTTAGTTTGATTGGACTTTATACCATGTATAAATATATAGAAACATCATATGGTACTCCATAAATATCTACAATTTTTATACAGTTGCTAATAATTATTTCTACTTGTTAAAATTATAAAAAACAATTCACAAATACTAAACTATTAGAAATCATTAGAACACAATATAGTAATATTAATTATCATCTTGATGAGCAAACAAAACAGACTACAAAACAAGTACAGGTAACTTGAAATTAAAATTCAAAACTGCATTCATTGAGAGAGACAAAAGAAATAGATACACAGAAAGGAAACTTCAGACACAAGCTGGATGTAGATATTTGCGGCATATAATCCTAACAAAGGATTGATCAGTACCCAGATTATATAAAGGTAACATTCCAATAAGTCAATAAAAAAAAGACAAACAACCCATTATGAAATCAAGTAGAAGACCCAAAAATTAACAGAGAAAAAGCACAATAACCAATCAACAGATAAAAAGTTAGCCTCATTTGTTATGGGGAAATGGTAATTAAAATCACAGTGGAATGTTATCTCATACCTGCCTGAATGACTGAATGTGAAATCTGACAAGGCCAAGTTATGACAAGTATGTGGAGCAACAAGTACTCTTACCCTTGCTGGATAGAGTGCAGCTGGTTCAACACTTTGGAAGCAGCTTGGGAACAACCTAATAAAGCCAAATATACACAAGTCTTACAACTCTATGTGTATATTTCTATGTGTATACTCTACTTCTATGTGTATACTCTAGGGAAACTCGTGCACCTGAGAACGTGAATGTTAGAGGACATATTATTCCTTCATATGACCAGAGAAGGCAGCCCTTACAATGTCCCCTAACAACTTTGCTTCTGAGTATTCACACCCCTGTGAAATCCCCTTCCCCACTCTTCACAGACACAAGATGACAAAAATGATGGCATATCATTTTTAAGGTTAGGTACTAGGTTGCAAAAAGAATCTGGCTTCTGCCTTCCTGCCTCTTCCCAGGAGCTTAGGGGACACAAGCCGCCATGTTGTTGGGATTTGCTACACAGAGGCCCAGTGACAAAGAACTGACAAGTCCAGCCAAAGTCAGTGCGGCCAGAAAGTGAGTCAGCTTGGAAGGGGTCTCTGATGATTCCCAGCCTGGAGATGGCTGCAGCCCAGTTAATAACTTGACTCCCCAACAACAATCTGAGAAACTCAGTCAGAGACCCCTAGCTAGACATGTCCTGGATTCCTGACCCAGAAATTGTGCGATAATAGGCCTTGTTTAGTATGTTTGCTTTTAAGGTGGTAGGTGTTGGGATAATTTATTACACAACTATAGATAATTAATACAATTAATATATCTCCCAAACTAGAAACAACCAAAATGTGCACCGAAGTTGAATGCATAAATTATAGTACATTCATACCATACACACAAAAATTCCAGGAAACAACAACAGGACTGCATCTCAAAAATTTAAGAATACGTACAGGATAATGTTGTTAATATGAGAGCTAAAACAGGGAAAATCAACAAATACGTTTTTGGAATACATAACACAATACGGGAAAACTGAAGAAAACCAAGAGAATGATTGAAACAAAACTCTTGACAAATGTCACGTCTCAGGGAAGGGAGGCAAGTTAGCATGAGGCACCGCCCTCATCCCCAACACACACACACACACACACACACACACACACACAGGGCTTCTAAGACAGGACAGTGCCCTCTCGTTGACCTGGCAGACTGTCAGGCATTCATTTCATTGTTTTTTATCTCACTCTTTGATGTTTTCTGCACTTCTTATTCATAACTGTTTTTTTAAATCAAAACAATCCAAAAAAGAAAGCAAGCAGGCCAAGTATTGAAATGCAATCAATCCACCATCAGTTTGGAGGATGAAGGGATGGATGGATGTTAGCTGGCAGCTGGGCAGATACATTCTGTTCCTTATGTCTAGTTGGAGCTGTACTTCTTCCAAGTTTCCATGATTCTCCAATTGGCAAAGATCATCTTTCCTCCTATACTGCCTGAGTTACGGCCTTCTCGCTCCCTTTGCAGGATGAGCCAGCTCAGCTGTGGATCTGGGAAGAGCACAGCTCAGCCGCTGCAGGGCCAGAGGCATTCCAGGCTGACGGAGGAGACTCCCGCAGCCACCCTCCCCGCGGCAAAGGCGCGCAGAACCTCAGCCCTGGGGCCCAGCTGAGGCAAGCTTCCCCGAAACCAGTGCCTAGCCTACAGGTGAGAGAACGTGCCTCCGCGGCTCCTTTCAGCTCCAATCTCAATGGCTCCTGCTGGAGCGCAAAACAAATCCCCAGAAAACAGGTCACGCGCCCCCTGACAAGCAGAGGGAGGTAACTACGCGGCGAGAACGTCAGCGGGGCCCCAGCTGCAGGGGACGCAGAGGAACGAGGCCACCCAGCACCAGCCGCCACCTGGGGACCAAGCCCCACCCTGCCCGGACCCTCGCGCCCAGGACACCCCGCCCTTCGGGACGTGGCCTTTGTCTCCGCGGGCCTCTCCTGGCCCAGGGCGCAGGGATGACCCCTACTCACCGTCCGCCCCGCTGTGCCCTGCAGCGCGGGTTGGGGCAGGAAGGACCGGCTAGCCGCGGGGAAGAGGCTGTTCCCGAGCGGAAGGACCGTCTCAGGCGGGAAGGGACCGCGCGACGGTTGCCAGGCCCGGGGACGTGGAAAGTCGCAGGCGGAGAGTGGGTGGCGAGCGGCGCGCCTTCCCCGGGAGCTGATTGGCCGCCGCGGCGGGGAGGCGGAGGTTGGCCTGCCGCCCCCAACCCAAGAAGCCCCGCTTTGTGTCAGCTTCTGGCCAGTATGTGGCCTCACGTTTGAGACAGTGACCCTGGCACCCACCTCAGCAGTGCGAAGGGCAATTTGTTTAAACCAAACCCAAAGCCACCTAGGACTGTGCACAAATAAGGGGTCGATCAATAGTTACATCTTTGTATAAAATAATGCACAACTGACTTGGAGAACCTGGACGCATTTAGAATTTTTTAAAGGTCGTTTTCAAATGGACAGTATGATTACATTCTTGGTTTAATTTTCATTTTATTTGAGAGAGAGAGAGATCGATCTTCCATCCACTGGTTCAGTCCCCAGATGCCTGTTAACAGCCAGGGGAAGCCAGGAGCCTGTCACTCCATTCAAGTCTCCTGCATGGGTGGCAACAGTCCAAATACTTGGACCATCATCTGCACACCAGCAGGAAGCTGGATCAGAAGTACAGGAGCCAGGACTGCAGTCAGGAGCCGGGATGCAACTGAAGAGCTTGGGTAAAATTGCATACTCATAGGTTCTGGGCATTAGGACATGGACATCTTTAGGGGACCATTTTTCTGCCTATCACAGAGGGTTCGTTAACTTCTGTCTCAGTATCCTCATCTATAACATCGGGGATAGTGATTCTGTCTACCTCCCGGGCAGTTGGGATTAAATTAGTTAGTACAGACAAAACACTTACATATGACCTGGCATATTTGAACATGACCAGACAGACAGATCTTCCTGCGTGAGTCTGAATCACAGCATTGCCAGCGACCCCAGTCTACTATAAATGAGACCTATCCCTGCATTGTGGGTCCTTTTACAGCCACTGCTAGTTCTCTGCCCAGCCCTTCTATGCCCTTTCTCAAAAGCAAACCCCAGTGCCTTCAGAGGGAGTTTGATCAGTTCCCTTTCTCTTCCAAAAGGCCTCCCTCCATCCTAAATCTTGATTCCCTTTTAATGTTCATCTCCCTTAAGTCATTCTCTTCATTTTTCTCTCTCCAGTATAGTTCATCTTTGTCCTCAGATAATGCAGTTTCTTACATGTAAAAAGAGAAGTGGGTAAAAGATCTAATCAGCAAGACACTTGCCTTACCTTCTTACTGTCACTTACTGGCCATAAGTCTGCTGCTTTTCACAACTGTTGTCACATATGCCCATAACCTGTGAGAAAGGTGGCCCTAACCCCCAGCGAGTGTTAACAGGTAGCTTGGAGGACAGTGTGGACTCCTTGCTCTCTTCTTTCCTTCCCAGGCCCAGAGTCAGTTGGAAATGAGCACACCAGTGACTTCAGAGTGCAGTGGGTCTGGGGAATGGGGGGAGCTGAAAAAGCATGACCTAGCTTGGAGGGGTCCTCATTGGCCAAAGGTCACTGAAGTTGGCCAGTGCTTGTTGCTGTGTGGAAGAGGCTGCCCCACTGCACTGTCTCATCCCAGCCCCCAGTACACACAGACATACACACACACACATGAGGAGCCTGGAGGACTGCCCAGTGATCTCAGGGATTTTGTACTGAAAGCATGAGCATCTGAATTTTCAAGTCATTCTCCATCTCTGCAGAATCTTCTCTGCTGCCTGCATTTTCCAGGTCCTTTTTTGTTTTTCAGAAATATATGGAAATATTTTATTTATTAATTTTTTACCTAGAAACATTTTATTTAAGGTATACAAACTTCATGCATTTCATGAATACAAATTTAGGAACACAGTGATTCTTCCCACCCTTCCCTCCCTCCCACTTGCACTCTGACCCTTCTTTCTCCTCCCTCTCCTAGTCTCATTCTTATTTTTTCAAAGATCTATTTTCACTTTGAGATGCAATGATTTTGAATAGCCCTTGTCTAGACTGTTGAAGAACAAGTTTGTTTTTTTTTTCCTTGATAATATTTGTTGAACTCTTTACTTAGTGTAGGGCTAATCTCATGTGTATCAAGTTAATTAGAAATAGATTTTTCCAGTTCCTTTTGCGATACTGGAAGCAACTGGACAAGATGTTTTAGCCCTGAAACTGTGATCAATTGCACAGCAAAAACAACAGTAACTAAATAGGTGGGCTTTGTATATGTGTGTCTGGGGAGAGAGGGAGACTGGGGTGGACAGGGGTGTGTCCTGCTGATTGTCAGCTTCTGAGAAGGGGAGGATATGGGAAGCGAGAAATGCAGACGTCTTGGAAGAGAAGAGTAACAGCTCAACTGCAAGGAACTCTGGATTTAGAAACACCCATTTTTCAATCCTCACACACCCAGCTGGCTTCATAGGTCCCCCCTGACACCAGACATCAATCAGCTTTCCCTTCCTCCGGAGTAGTCAGAAACCAGCCCTATGTGCTGGTAGCTGGACTTGTTCACCCCTAGAAGCCTCTGAGAAGCCGCCACCCCTGTCTACCCTCCTACCTCAGGGTAGATGTGGCCGGGTGTCACTCCCCGTCTTCGTGGAGGAACGACACAGGACCCTGCGTTGTTCTTTCGTCTGCTCGGCCCTCCCCGGGTTTGCTGCTGGTTCTTCCCGGGTTGGCTACCGTCCCTTCCACCTCCCGTGGAAGGGCGGTTCCCCCTGCCACTTTTCCCCACTTCTGCGGGGGAGCGGCACACCGCCGGCCGGCTCTCTCGGGGGCTGCACAGGTGTTCCTTCAGATAGATGTTCCTGGTGCATATTGTCTCTCTCCTCCTTTATAGTCCTCTTCCACCAATCCCAACTCTACTACCCACACGCCGAGTATGCTGCTCTCCTCCAATCAGGAGCAGGTCCTGCTGCTTATTGGTTGAACTGCAGGCAGCTGCGTAGAAGCTGTTTCCTCCTCTCCCAGCGCCATATTGTGGTAGAGCAGATGCATAGAATAAGTCTTAATTCCAGTAACTTAGTCTAGTCCGAGTTGCTCCCAGTTGCTCCCCACAGCCGGGGAGCTCTGAGGGAGACCAGAGGTGCAGAGGAGTCGGGGGGTACCTGCACCTTGGGGGTTTAGAGAGCAAAGGAGGCAGGGAGAAGGGAGTCTAGAGATCCCTTTGATTCCCTCAAACCATACCAGACCGGGATACGGAGGAACTCTGTGCTCGCTGAGATAAGATGCACTTCCTAGAATGCTCTTAGTGAAGAGACAGTGGGGGGATGGGAGGGAGAAGATTAGAAGACCTATATGATTCCCCTTCTCCTGGACTGGAAGCAAGAAAGGATGAGTAAGAGTGATGTGGGTGCTGAATTCTGGAACCTGCCCTTGGTGACTTGCCCATCTTGGCCTGAAAAGTGCTCTCCATCCTAAGAAATGTGTAGGCTTATGTATAGTTTAGCAAGTCTAAGCCTGAACCCACTCTTGAAAATATGGCAAGGTTATTTTTCCAGATACATACTAAATTTCACAGTGCTTTTTCATTTTCTATTCTTTTTATAAAAAGTTGTATTTATTTATTTGAGAGGCCTCTCTTCCCCCCTCTGTTAGGTAAATCCTCCCCTCAGACACTTCACTAATGCAGAAAGCAAGAAATGTGGGTCACTTCATGGGTATGCAGCCACTGCAGTCACACAAGGCCTCACACTAGGGAAAACCCCTTGCCCAGGAGGGCCCTGCATTTGCTTTTATGCTCCACTGTTGCCACCTTGAAATGCTTAGTACATTTTGAGTAAGAAATCTTACCTTTTCATCTTATGCTGGGCCCCCAATTATGTGGCAGGTCATGCAAAGCATGCAGAAAATGCTAGTCATTAGTAAAGCCCTGAGCCACTGAACAGGTTGTTCAAGGTGCTTATGAAGTAGGTAACAGAGTGGATATGTTGCAAACCAGCAAAGTAGAAAGAAAGGAATTTAGAAACAGGGCATGAAGTCTGTGGTCCCAGGAGACTGATGATGGGCATGGCATATGCAGGCTGTATCATGGTACCCCAAGGAAGGGCCCAATCTCAGAGATAATAGCTAGGATCCTGGCAATGCCTACAATGGAATTTTGTGGTAATTTGGTAGAGAATGCTAATGTCACAATTAAGTTTATTAACAAACAAAAAATTCTTTTTTCTTTTATATACTTGAAGTTTTTAACTCAGAATGACACACATCAAATAAGCAAGCAAAAAGACCCCAGAAGAGGTCAAAAACAAGCTTTCCAGGATTATGCCTAGTCCCTAAAAGTGTGTGTAGGAGGTCTCATTCTTCCTAAAAATTTTCAACACTTAAGAAATTAGGAAGTTCTGCTTAAGGATCCAGACTTCTGGGTTCTTTAATAATCTGAAATTGATCATCAGAGATCCTACATGCTCCTGACACAACAAGCTAAGGATTCTTTTTTTGAAGATTTATTTATTTATTTGAAAGTCAGAGTCACAGAGAGAAAGGGAGAGACAGAGAGACAGGTCTTCCATCTACTGGTTCACCCCCTGGGTGGCCACAACAGCCAGGGCTGAGCCAGGCCAAAGCCAGGAGTTTCTTCTGGGTTTCCCATGTGTGTGTAGGGTCATCTGAGGCTGCTATTCCCA